ATCAGGAGTTCCAGCTGTAATATTCAGACTTGTACCATTTGGATTTTTGCAGCACACATATAGGTGACAGGAGGGCCAGGCTTCCAAGGTCAAAGACCGAAGAGTGTCATGCACCTCTAGGAACCAAGTCGGAGGGCTAAAGTCCACAGTAAATCCTGGGCACATAAAATGGGAAGGACCACAGTAAAGGGCTCTAATGCTCTGTGGAGTGAAAGACATCAAGCATGAGGAACTGGAGCTTAATAGGAGCCATGCGTGATCCGAGGGTCTCTGGATCCGGGGCTATGAGCTAGCAAAGCCAAAAATTCTGATTCTTCAGTTGAACTAAGGAGGATGGCATGCACAGATCAGAGGAACTCTCCGTTCCACTTAGGTCTTTGTTAGCTGGTCCACACAGCGTGTGCTCCCTTCTGGCTGCCATGGTGAGGAGGATGCACACAAACTGGAACATGCGCAAAGGCTGTCAGGAAAGTAAAGTCTGTACAACTTGTCACATGAGGCAGCTGAACGAATGAGAGATACTTACTGAGAAAAACTGGGAGAGGGCGGGTAGCATAACTGCCTGTGTGACTGAAGGACTGTAGATAGAAGGGGATGAGGCGAGTGAATGGAATCGGCACCACCTGGTAGGCAGAAGTGTCAGGAAGGTAGACTTCAGCTACACAAAAAACAACTTCCTAAAGTATGAACCACTTAAGATGAAATCGGTTGCTTTATGATATGGGGAACTTCCTGTCTCTGGAAACGTTGAATGGAAGCAGAATAAGAGCTGGAGGGACACGGTAGAGAATGGCTGGAAGAGTTTTACTCTCTTCCAGTTCTAAGGGTCTGCGGATCTATATGTTTGCACCTATACGTTGGGGTTTGTGCATCTGTGGCAAAATAGGAAGAGAGGGCCCTACCGGATGGTGCAACAGGTTAAATAAAGCACAGCACTCTGAGGCTGTCTGCAGCCACTGCAGTATGAGTTCAATCCCTGGCCAGGCGGGTGACCCACATGGTGTGACAGACTTCGCCTGACCTGCCCACTGGTCCCCTCAGCGGTGGACTTCAGCATATCTGCCTATTCTCTTTGCTCATTCTGTCTCTGGTGAGCCCTCTCACTCTCCACATCTCTGGCCTGTACCCCAGTTCTTATATGCATAAATAAATAACTCTTTAAAAAAATAGGAAGAGAGCAGTCACTTAGCCCAGTGGGCAAGTAGAGGCCTCTGGGGCCAGATCCCCGGGCTCTGCGCCTGCTGTCAAGCCTTGAGTGAGTTGCTTAAGCTCCAGACTTCAATGTCTTCAGGTGTAAAGTGAGAAGGATACTAACATTATACCTTGTAGAACTGTAGGGAGTAAGCATTTCATGCATGTGGTATTTTGTTAATATTAACAAAAATACTAAATTATGTTGGTCATTTCTAAGTTGTAAAGAACAATTTCCTCCAGCCCTACTTATGTACGGTGGCAAAGCAGTCCCCTGTCCAAATAAGGATGCTACCTGTAATTTGACAACCATATCAGAGAATATAGAACATAGAAGCAGGATTTGAGTGTCTAGGCAGTATCCCGAAAAAGCCTGCTCAGTTTTCAAACCTGGCTTGCCTATGCGACACAGAGGACCGTAACACCACACTTGTGTTTGCAGTATAATTGCAGAGAAAACACACAAGCTTGCCGGCCTACGTCCTGTCTCTAGTCTCTCATTACAGCTGCTGGAGTGATCTTGCTCACATTCAATTTTCATCACTTTACCTATGTAGTCCAAGAAACCAGTGACTCCCCTTTGTTTAGTGGGTCAGACCGTAACTCCTCAGCTCAGTATCTGAAGCTTCCCTCCCTCCCTCCCCTCCAAGTATTTTATTACTGGCCACTCTGGACAGGCTTAGAAAGCTTTTCATGGATTTTAATACTGAATAAGTTAAACCAAAACAAACAAAATGCTTTTCCAGTTAATCATCATATTGTACATATTCAAAGTACACAGTTTGGTTAAGTTTTTACATATGTGCCCACCTATGAAACTGCCACCAAAATTGAGTGAAAAAAAAAAATAAAAAAAGTTGAGAGTGAACACACACATCACTACGGTCAATTACACCAAGCCCCATTGTACTCCCTCCTTCTCACCTTAGGCAACTTCCGATCCTCTTTCTGTCACTAGAGATGAGTTTGCGTTTCCTAGAATTTCATGTAAATGTAATCATATCACAGGTACACTTTTGAGGAGGCCTGGTTTCCTCTCACTTGAAATCCAGATCTATAGCTCCATGTTTTCTTGTGTGTGTATCAATAGTCAATTTCTTTCTTTTCAGTTGCTGAGTAGTACTCCATTAGATGGGTATTTTGTTTATCCATTCATCAGTTGATGGACTTTGGGTCATTTCCACTTTTTGGCTATTATGAATAATATTGCTATAAACATTCACGTATCAGGGTCTGTATGGATATGTTTCCACTTTTGTGGGATACAGACCTAGGAGTGGAATTTCTGGGTCATATATCAATAGTGACTCCATGTTGAACCACTTGAGGGATTCCGGACTGTTTCCCAAAGTGATCCCCAAGAGCAGGGTATAAAAATTGCAGTTCCTCCACATCTTGAGACCTTTCTTTAGCCACCATCTCTTTAATGTCATTTTTTTGTTTCATCTTCCTGCCCCAGGAATTTCTTCGCATCCACTCCTTTGGTGGTCTTATGGCTTTAACCACCACCCGACTGCTGATGACACCCAAATTTCTACCTCCAGCCACCATTCTCCCCTGAATGCCAGAATTACCCCTAAGTCCTGGCTTAGGTTTATTTTCCTGACATAATTATTACTATTTTGGGGAAGATTTATTTATACACACAAGAACTGAGGTGTAGGCCTGAGGTGCAGGGTTGGGGTAAGAGGAATGCTAGAGACAGAGTGGGGAGCATAACAGGCAGGTCCACTGAAATGTACTGCTGAGGAGAGCAGCAGGCAAGTCAGGAAAGGTCTGCTGCGCCGTGTGGGTCACAGCCCTGGCCTGGCACTGAACTCACACTGAAGGGGCTGTGGAGAGCTTTTCAGAGCAGTGCTTTAACCCTTTGTGCCCCCAGGGAAGGTCCTCAAAAGAACTTTTAATTTCTTTTGCACCAGAACTCTGCCTTCAGTCTTCCCAGTAGTCCTCTTAAGCAGCACGTGCTATCTATTTTGTTAATCAAGTCAAAAGCGAAAACCCTACATGGCACCTCTGATTCCCTACATCTCAGCTCCAAAGTACATCTTGAAGCCACTCATTCCTCTTCGTCTTTACCACCATTCTAGTCCAAGCCATCATATGACACCATGGCTTCGATTTCCATAAGTTTCTGGATAGCTCTTCCCATTATAGGCTTTCTTCCCTCCAATCCATTACCTCCACAGCAACCAGAATATTTAAAAATGAAAATCAGGGCCTCCCAGATGGCAACAGGGGTTAGTCTCAGTGCTATCAAGCTCTCCGCAGCCACTGCAGCACGAGTTCCATCCCCGGGCAGGGAGCTGACACACATGGCGCAGCAGAACTCTCCTGTCTTGGCCGCTGCTCCTCTCAGCAGTGTACTTTGTCAGTCTGCCTGCTCTGCTCCTGACCCTGTCTCTGTTGAATCCTCTCACCCCCGCACTGCTGGCTTACATCCCAGCTCCTGTGTGCATACATTTTTAAAATATTTTTTAAAAAGAAAAGAAAATCAGATTCTGTGCTATTTGCATAAAGCCCTTCAACGACTCCTGACCGCCTTTAGAATAAAGTCTAGCTTCTCATGGCCCAAGTGGCCAACACAGGCTGTCCTCCATCCAGCCTCATCATGGACTCACCCCTCAGCTGCTCACCAGGTGCCCCCCACTACCTGCAGCACCTCTGTACTTCTGTCCCCTCTGCTGGGAATACGTTCTCCACAGTTCTGTGCATGGTTGGCTCATTTTCACCCTTGAGGACTCACCTCAAATGTCGCTTCAAAGTGGCCCTCCGTGGTCCCCTGAGTTAAAGTACTTCCCTCACCCCCACTTAATTCTCTAGCAAAGGACCCTGCTTATTCTCCTTCTAACACTACAATCTGTAATTAACTAGCACATAGATTAATTTACTAATAAATTACTCCCAGGCCAATACTGTATTATGCTTCTTCCTCCTACTTAGTTTGGTGCACACTGCCAGCTAGAAAGCACAGTTCTTTTGTACCCCTGAGAAGATGAAAATAGCTGGAAGGAACAGAGTAGAGATTTTTAAGAGTTATTCTGCCATTAGAAAAATGAGGTATATCTTCCTCCCTACTTAATAAAAAAAAAAAATCAATACTGTGGCTCAGAAGACATTCCTGTGTGGCCATAGCAAGAGCTTAGCTAAGCTCTCACAACACTTGCAGAACTTGCAGAGAGCACAAAAGATATAAGGTGATGTAAGTGACCTGAGGTTAGGATTTGTAATTTAGTAAAAATAAGTTTTTTTTTTCTTTTTTGCAGCTTTTAGAAATTTTCAAAAAGTTGTTCACCTCAGGGAAAACAAAGAGTAAGAAACATGAACTATTTACTCTATGAAAAGAAGCCGCCATCCTCCAACCCCCAGCAGAATGGGCTACAGATGAGATTTCCCTGTGTTGGTGTTCACTGCTATTCCCCACAAAACACAGTCTGCCACAGCAGTTGGTAAAACAAGCTATTTCAGCAGATTTCAGTGAGACAAGGTTCTGAGGGCTTGAAGACTTTGGTCAGTGTGCATTTAACCACAATTTTATAAGTTAAGATTAGCAATAAATGACCAACCCATCATTTTTCTTTGAAAATATATTTAATAAGGAAAAATACTTTCAACATACTGAAAGCCTCTGTTGTGTGCATGAATAAATTAACAACTAAATATAAGAAATACTTTTTTCTAATGCATAGGTAGGCACAACTTGAAAGGCACACTCAGTAAACTTGAGATGGAACCCCGAAGGTGGAACAATCCCAAAATATAAAAATAAAATTGAATGGAGATGATTAGCCTAAAGCGTTTTTGTTCGGTTGTTTTTTTTTTTTTTTTTGGTGCTGTGTCAAATGTTCTACTTGATCCTTGCTAGGCAACTGGGACATCTTGTGCATATAAGTTAAGTTGACTAAATAATTTATTCTCAGGATAGGCTTGCAGAGCAAGTTAAAAGACAGAGAATTTGGGCCACCTGCTCTGTACATGACCAACTGGAAGGTTTTGGGGGACACAAGTAAGCATTTGTGATGAAGTCTGTCTTCCTGAAACACAATATTCTAAGCCTGGGATGCTTCCAATTTAAATAAAGGTCAGTTCCACTTCCACAGGGATGGCTATTTAGTGGTAAGCATGCCCAATTTCTGATAAGGCATATTCTATATGGGGTGTGTGTGTTCTCAGAGGTCAGCGAAGAATATGAGTTCCAGAATGAAGGTATTGGAACTCAGGACACACAGAGTAAAACTAGGCCAACATGGAGTTGAGCAGGTCGTGACCCTGTGGCTGAACTCAGGACATGGTATCTGCTCAACTGCAGGCAGTGCCTTCTTTGGTGCTATGTGAGGGCACATCTCATTACTGGTAGGCGTTGTTCTAAAGCCCGGTGGAACGCCTGCAGGCCCACAGGGGAAGCCTTCCTGTGGCAGGTGCTTACAGGGACATCAGCTGGGAGCTCAGAGGTTGAGTGACTGAATCTTTTCAGTTCCAAGAGCAGAAGACTGGAAGTGCCCTCTCGACACTCCATGTGGGCACAAAGAGACTCTAGGGAAATGGGATTGCAACACGCCAGCGGTCAGCACACTTCTAGCTCCACCCCACTTTAAAGAGTTGGTTTTTTAGATTTCAGCGTGCTGGTTTTTAAGAACTTCTTTAATTCTCGCAATTCCTGGGGCTTCAAACTCTGATCCACTCCAGGGGTCAATTGATAGCTCAGAGGAGACACGATGTAACCATTTCGGTACAGACAGATCCTCTTGCAGAACTCAAAGGTGCCGAACATAACTCCAAAGTATGGAACTATCTGTTTAAAAAGAATATTAAAATCTTCAAAATAAAAAATGTCAACACATCTATGATCAACTTGCATCAGGGTAAAGTGAGATAAAGAAGGTGGGCCTGGTAAAAAACACATTTGGGGATGGGGAAGATGGCAAGATGAAGGTGCATGGGAGAATGGCCGAGTGACTGAAGGGCATGCCCCACAGAGCCTGGGTATCAGAGGTCTCAACAGTGTACAGGGCCCCTCTCCCTGGAGCTGCCAGCTAGTCTGTATTTGCAGGCCTTGGGCTATCACCAGTGCCAGGGGCATTTGCGGGCCTTGGAGATGCTTCCACGTGAACTGTGGTAGCAGAGGCAAAGCAAAAGGGTAGAACTGGAAGAGGCAATGAAGCAGTAGAGGCTGACATCTCCACTCACCTTCAGCAAGTTGGCTGCCAATCCATTCCATAGTCCCAGCACCCCTTGCGTCTTCACTACCTGCCGGAAACAGTCCACTACTCCTGAAAAGTGGACATCTACTCCTCCACAGTGCGGAAGACAGGCACTCTGGGCCTGGCAGGGAAAAGAAGATGGCGTGAGGTGATTTAGTCACCAGGAAATAAATATGCTAGTCAGCACAGCTAAGGACTTAAGTCTGGCCTTAGAGGCAATGCTCCAGGCCAAGATGATGGCAAAAATGGCCACTGAGGGCTCATCTTGTTCCATGAGCTTCACACACAATGAAGTTAGGATGTCTTGTTCATGTATCGGTGGTTGATTTGGCTTGGAAGGAGACAGACAACCTCACACCACTGCTTCCCAGCCTAGGCCCTCTGGCCAGGAGAAGTACTCACATGCCGTTAACATTTGAAAAGTGCCCTCCTTGGTTCTTGTCTTAACTGGTCCCTGTGACACTCTCAAGTGAGGGCTGCTCATTTCCTGCCTCACGGATGTCCCAGGGTGGGGAGCAGAGCGACAGCATCTCATTCTTTCACCTCTTGCTGTTTGTGTGTACCTACTCCTCTTTCAAGCCAGAAGCTGTTGGCTGGGGCTCGGGTCGCTGGCCCACTCCTCATAGTTGCCCCCATTACTGACATTCTGGCCACGCTTTCATGTTCATTGAGGACTGCCAAACTTGCACCATCTTAGGTAACTTCAGCATTGACAGAGACAACCCAGCCCCTGCTTTCTGTACCTTGTCTTTATAGGTACAGGAGTTGGCCCCCGACTCCTTAGCATCCCCCCACGCAGTCTGCATTACCATTCCCAGAACTATCCTGGTCACCCCAAATGCTCCACCTTGCAAAGTAACAATTTTGTCCTTTAGTAAAACTTGTGATCAGATGAAATATCCCATCTACATACAAAATTGATACTATTTCCCAATGTTGGGGAACTAGTCCCTCACTTCTAGTCATCTACATGGCGTCAAATTTACCTTTAGCTATGCACACAATTCCTTTTGTTGCTGATACATCTAATAGGGGCGAGCATAGCACTGTTGCAATGGAGCCAAGATTTTCCACAGCAGGCGGCTGTACAGTGGGGCAAGGAGAAGAGCACGTACTCTGGTGTCACACAGGTAGGGATCTGGGTCTGCTGCTCCACTTACTGGCTGTGTGACCCCTGGCAACCTCCCTAAGCTATTTGAGCCTCAGTTTCCTTCTTTAGAAAATGGGAATAGGACCCTCCCTAGGTGATACAATGGGTTAGAGTGCAGTACTATGAAGCAACTGTAGCACTATGAAGCCACTGCAGCACAAGTTTGATCCCCGCCCAGGGAGCTGACCCACATGGCGCAGCAGACCTCTCCTCACCCACCCGCTGCTCCTCTCAGCAGTGAGTTTCAGTCAGTCTGTGCATTCTTCTCCCCGCACTGTCTCTAGTGAATCCTTTCACCACCTGCACCTCTGGTCTGTATCCCAGTTCTTGGATGCATAAATAAATCTTAAAAATACAGAAAGTGGGAATAGTTCCTGCTATATGGGGATGCAGGGAAATAGATGAGGAGGGCACTTCACAGCGTCACGCATGTAATAAGGACCAATGAAAATGAGCCAGCATTGCCATCACTATTGTGTTGAATGTGTTCTAGATTGCAACAGAACCCCTTCCCTAGTTATTAGATCTTACTAGAAGGTGCATGGTTCTGAAATTCTGCACTTTAGAAGTGCTTGTCCACAGTGTACTCATCCACCCACACCCGTCACCTATTCAGATTACTCATGACCATGTGGATCATGAATCCCTGTAGTCCCTGAGCCCTCCTTTACCCGGCTGGCCACCAAGCCCACCAGCCTCACTGTCCTCGCAACTTTTTTTCTGCTTCTATTCTGAAAATCATTGGCTCCTGTCCTTCAGTCAGCTTCCACCCTCCCCCAAACGTCATCTCTGCTCTAAGTCTCTGAAGGAGAATCCAGATGGGCCAGGCGGGTGGTCTGTAATTCTGGACCCTCACAGTATGAAGAAGCCTTCAAAGCACCCATTTCCATTTCTCACGATGGCTCTTCCGAGCCTCACCACACACTCAACACCTTGTACTCCACACCATTTTCCTCTACTCTAGGCAGGTAACCTCACTTTCTAGTTCACAGGGAAAATAGATCAGACAGGGCTCTCTGCTTCTTTGTATAAATATCCTTCTTTCCTACCAGTTCCCGGGATGTCACACCTTTGAACTCTTTCTTGGGCACCTTTCCCAGGAGATCTGACTTTCCCCCTTAGCAAATGAATAAACTCAAATCCCTCCTACCTTAAAAACAACTCCTTCCTTCGATATTAACTTTGCCCTTTAGATACAACCCAAGCTCTCATTTCCAAACGAACATAATCAAATGACCTTATTTTGGTTTTAGAGTTTTAGGCATTTGAACACGGGTATAGATTTGTGTGGCCACCAACACAATCAGGATACAGAATTGAGACATAAGTCCTGTGAATTCTCACATGCCCCCCAATTCCAATTAAGGCCTCCCCTACTCCAGGCAATCACAAGTATGTTCTTTGCCTCTACTTTTGCCTTTCTAGAATGTCACCTAAATGAGATGGGAAGAGAAAGACTGGAGACAGTGAGTGCAGACAGTTCTTTCCAGGAGGGCTCTTTCTTTTGACACTGGCTTCTTTCACTCAACGTGATGTCTTTGACAATCACTTATGTTGTTTCTTTTTTTAACGTTGAGTGTGTTTCTATTGTGTGGCTGTAACATCTCTCCTTTTTCTTTTGCACTTGTGGAAATGGGCATGTACTTCCTGATCTACTCATCGTAATGTGGCATCGTCTCCCTTACAGTCACACATCAGTGAATGACAGCAATGTGTTCTGAGAAATGCACCATTAGGTGATTTGGTTGTCGTGCGAATGTCACAGAGTAATGACACAAACCTGGATGGTATAGCCCATGACACACCTGGGTTACATGGTATAGCTTACTGGGACCACCGTCATCTACAGGGTCTGTCATTGTCCAAAATGTTAATGATACGTGACTGTACTCCACTTACTGATTCTGGCTTGTTCTATCTCTTCCCTACTCTTGGAAGCAAGGAAAGATAGAGGGAATATCTGCTAGCATGGACAGTAAAGCAGTGGGTATCAACTGAGTGTTTTTTCATCAGGGTGGTCAGGGAAGACTCGCCAAGATGACCTTTGAGTAAAGACCTGCAGGAATTGAGGCAGCAACTTATACAGCCAACTGCAAAGGCCGTGGGGCAGGAACACGAACAGCTGTTAGAGAGGCAAGAAGGAGGCCAACATGGCGAGAATGGAATGGACAAAGGGGAGAGTAACAGGAGATGACATCAAAAGAGCAAATGGTGACACAGGCTGGTAGGCCACTGTGCTCTTAGTTCATGAGCTGGGAAGTTGCTGGAGGGTGACTAATTTGTATTTTAACAGGATCATACTGGCTGCTGCATTAAGAAAGATTCAAAGGTGAGAGAAAGCACAGAAGGATGGGGATTGGTTAAATGAGTACAGTAATTTAGGCAAGAGAGGACAGCAGCACAGACTGAGACACTAGCAGTGGGCTGGAGCAGCAGTCGGCTCTGGATGTGTTCCGAAGATGGTGTCAACAGCATCAGCTGGTGATGGATGAGCATGTGATCGCAGGATGCAGGAGTCAAGGATGAACCACAGCCCCTGGTCTGAGCAACTGGGTAGATGGAAGTGCCATTAACTAAGGGGGGCAAACTGAGGGAGAAGCAGGTTGGTTTTGGGGTGGAGGGGACCTCAGAATTTCAAATGTGTGATACCTATTAAACATCTAAGTAGAGATGGGAGTTGGCTACACAAGCTGGAAGCCAGGGGAGTGGGCAGGCTGGAGACCAAATCGGGATGGACGGGCACGGGCAGCATTTAAAGCTAGAAGTCTTGATGAAACCACTTCGGGCATGAGCCTGGGGAGATGCCAACATTTAGAGATCAGAGATGGGAAGGACAGGCAAAGAAGACTGGGAAGGAGGGCCGGTGTTTAGAAGGAAAACCGGAAGGCTGTGACATCCAGGGAGTGACATGAAGGCCATGTGCTGAGGAGGCAGGTGGGGCAAGCTGCTGAGGGCCCAGAAGGATGACGACTAAGCACTAGCCACTAGGGTCAGCAGCAGGGAGGTCGCAGGTACCTTAATGAGAGAAGTGTTTATTGAGTGGTGAGGGGAAGAGTAATTGGAATGGATTCAAGAGCATGGGCAGAGAAATAGTGGAGACAGTGAGAACAGGCAGCTCTCTCAGTAGGTCTCTCTCACACTGGATTGGAACCATGTCTGATTCACATGTCTGCTTTTCCCAGGGGACTGTGCACTCAGTAAGGGCTGGACCTTGTTCATTTCTGTGTCTCTTGTGCCATAAGCAGCAGCTGGCACATGGCTGGTGCTCAGTGAATGGTCTGCTGAAGGAATACACAAAGTTAGGAGAAGAGTAGATTGGTCTTTGGCAAAATCTTATGCATAAATTATAAAAATGATGGAACAAGACCCAAATGATATAATGTATAATCATTTTATCAAACATCAAAGTTCCTATTATTTTACTTACAATGCTGTGTAACTAGCTCTACTTTACTAAGAGATGGCATAGTAGAAAATGTCACACATGAAGTCCGTAATATTATTAGTGCTACAACTAATCAATAACCACTATTTATTGGCTGCTTATGCACCACTGAGGAAACTGAGGCCCAGAGGCAGGTGAAGTGATTTAACCAAAACCTTGTCAGCTAGTAAGTAACACATTTCATTCTGTGTGAAGTTAGTTGTTTCATGTCCTTTTCCCCCAACGGCCTAGACCCCTGATGCTGGGACCGTGCTTTGCTCAGTTCTTCTCACCTCCATGAAAGTGTGGGGATGTATGAAAAAATACTAGGAAGACTGGCTCTTTGTTTTCTTTCTGATTCCTAGATCTACATCATTCCAAGCCCCGATAACTCAAAATCTCCAAACCACACATTCAAATCTGAAAGGGACTTGAAGACAGACCAGAACAATTACTTCCTTTTACAGATAAACCCAAGGCCTCGAGAGGAAGAGTGACAAATGCTGAGACAGGCTGAGGGCCGTGGGACCAGAGCTGGGTGTGCCCC